AATAACTGTCTAATACAATCCTTACCCCCACCCAAAAAAAAAAAAAAAAGAAAAGAAAAGAATTGTTCATAAGGACATCTATTTTTCAGTAAATGTCATCTTGTAGTCCAAATCCCAGGCCCCTTCTTCACTGCCAGGAAAACTCCGCCTTGGACCAGGATCATACACTCTTCTTCTGCGGAGGGCTCAGCTTCCTCATGCCTCGTATCCGAGAGAGCAGCTCTTTGATAAATTCCTAAAAGAGATCAGAAGATGTTGAGCATGAGATGGTCACTGTATTCAAATGTGTATTTGATATCTGGTTAAAGACACTGCTCTCCACTGCAGTGAACCTACACACATGCATGGTTGAATGCACTAAGCCAATTGGAACAATACTGGAGAAGCTTAAACAAGTAAGAGAGCTTCAACTTCATACCCCAAGCCTTCCTCCTGCTTCAAGCTCTTTTAGGAGACTACCAGGCTTTCTTCACACATTTCTGTCACTTCCCTGGCGCCTGAAGGCTAGGTTTAGCTCAGTGCCTCTTAGTCTTACTGCTGTTGTTAAGTGCCCAGGTGTCGGTTCCAACTCATAGCCATCCTATATAGGGTTTCCAAGGAGCAGCTGGTAGGTTTGAACCACCAAGCTTACGGTTAGTGATCCAGTGCTTATCCTACAGCATCACACCAGAACTCCTTTAATAAGTGCATTCGATTGCCTGAAGATCTGGTTAACATGTCGATTCTGCATCCGTTGATCTGACTTGGGCTCTGGGATTCTGCACTTGCACCAGACTCTCAGGGAATGCCAATGCTGGTGCTTAGATCACACCTGGTCCAGTGTTGAGCTCAGGTGTGGTCCAGGGGTCAGCTCTGGCATAAGCCATCTGTTAAAACACAGATTGCTGGGCCCCACCCCAGGGGCATGTGATTCAGTAGGTCTGAGGTGGGGCCTAAGAGTTTGCATTCTAACAAGCCCCCCCCACACACACACACACAGGTGATGTTAATACTGGTGGCTTCAGAATCACATGGAGATCAGCAAGCCACAGCCAGTGACTGACAGGAAAAATCGAGCACATCATGATTCATCTAATAGTAAAAAACAACCAAGAAACTGTTCTCCTCCATTAAACCGGGCGCCATGGCGTCGACTGATTCACAGTCACCCCATGTGTGTCAGAGCAGAATTGTGCTCCAGGAACTTTTCAATGGCTGGTTTTCGGAAAGGACACCCCCAGACCTTTCTTCCAAGATGCCTCTGGGTGGACCAAAATCTCCAACCTTTTGGTTACAGCTAACAACAATAACATTTACACACTTATGGGTTCCTACTCTCCATTAAGACCCCCTGAAAAACTGAAAACTGCTCCCAGATACCCCTTCCACCAATTCTAACCCTCAGTCATAAACCCTAACCCTAAAAGATCCTGGTGGTACTTTGCAACTCCAAAGTGCAATACCCAATGTCACTGAGTGGATTCCAACTCATAGTGACCCTATATAAGATTTCCCAGACTGTAAACTTTTACAGAACAGAAAGCCTCATCTTTCTCCCACAGAGTGGCTGCTGGATTTGAACTACTGACCTTGTAGCTAACAGCCCAAAGACAATTCCACAGAGCAATCAGGGCTCCTTCTAAAACATAACACATAAATGTCTAATGCTTTATTGTCATTGTTGTTGTTGTTATTGTTAAGTGCCGTTGAGTCGGCTCTGACTCATAATGACCCTGTACAGAGTTTCTTAGGAGCAGCTGGTGGGTTTGAACCACAGACCTTGTGGTTCACAGTCCAGTGCTGATCCTACAGTGCAGCACCAGGACTCCAGTGTTTTAGCTGCTGCTGTTTCTTTCGTGTCTATTTTTAAAGAATCCCTTTGTTATTATGAAAGTAATACGTGCTTTTTCTAGAAATTTTGGGAAATACAAACCAGCAACAAAGTACTCCCCCAGATTAACCACTATTAACATATTTTCTTCTATGGACATTGTGTTGCCTAATTACAGACTGTTAAAATATATCCATTTGTCACTGAACCATATGTCAAAAACCTTTTCCCACAACATTAAGCATTCTTCCTAAAAATTCATCTTAGTGACTATATAATTCTTCATAGTACGGCTATCGTACGATTTGCTAATTCCCCCATTACTAGTATTTGAATGTTGTTGGTAGGTGTCATCAAGTCGGTACTGACTCATAGTGACCCTATGTACAACAGAATGAAACACTGCCTGGTCCTGGGCCAACCTCACTATCGTTGCCACACTTGAGCCCATTGATGCTGCTACTTGGCCTTGGGGGTCTTCCTCTTTTTCTCTGACCTCCACCTTACCAAACATGATACTGTTCTCCAGCAATTGGTCCCTTCTGACAATATGTCCAAAGTACGAGAGTTGAAGTTTGGCCATCCTGGCCTCCAAGGAGCACTCTGGCTGCACTTCTTCCAACACAGATCTGTTGGTTCTTTTGGCAGCCCATGGTACTTTCAAAATTCTCCTCCAACATCACAACTCAAAAGCATCAATTCTTCTATGGTCTTCCTTATTCACTGTCCAGCTTTCACATGCATATGAGGTGATTGAAAATACCATGGCTTGAGTCAGGTGCACCTTAGTCCTCAAGCTGACATCTTTGCTCTTCAACAATTTAAAAAGGTCTTGTGCAGCAGATTTGTCTAATGCAATACATGTTCTGATTTCTTGACTGCTACTTCCATGAGTGTTGATAGTTGAGCCAAGAAGAATGAAGTCCTTGACAACTTCAATCTTTTCTCCGTTGATAGGAATGTTGTTTATTGGCCCAGTGGTGAGGATTTTTGTTTTCTTTACATTGAGATGTAATCCATATCGAAGGCGGTGATCTTTGATCTTCATCAGTAAATATTTTAAGTCCTCTTTACTTTCAGCAAGCAAGGTTGTATCATCTGCATATCACAGGTTGTTAATGAGTCCTCCTTCAATCCTGATGCCATGTTTTTCTTCATATCACCCAGCTTCTTGGAATTATTCAAATGTATTTGAATAGTTCCCAGCTTTTCAAAACTATAAATAATGCCATACCTAACAGCTCTGTGCATAAGTCTTGCCCTGTCCTCTGGATTATTCCCTTTGGAGAGCTAGACCAGAAGTGGGAGCAAAAGACACAGACATTGAAATGACTACCATGCCTGAACCCAGACAGAAGAGAGGGAATACATGTAAAGTCAAATGAGGCCCTATTTTAATTTTCTGAATACAGTCTAATTTATCCAATTTAAAGAATTTCCTAAGATGAAATAATGCCACATTTTTCCATGTAAATTCAGTTTTCATTTGAAAGGTTAAATGTGTTTCCTATTGCCCCATTTACTCTGTGGCTTAAACAGTACATTGTATTCTGCACACATACAGTTTTAATTTTAGGTCTCTGGAATTTGTTACTCCAATGGTTGCTGCAAAGAGTTTCAGCATTTGAATAGAGATTTAATTGCTTCTTCTTCCTCTTGGGCAGCAAGGGTCAGAATCACAAGCCTTATAATTTATCTTGTTGATAACTCTGGTGATTTTTGTGAACTATTTAAATAAAGTATTTTTTCACAAAGATCATTTTTTTTTTAAAGGAAAGATTAAAACCACATAGGGAATAATGTTTCTTTAGCCTACAGACCTTTCTTCAGGACAAAAATGTAACGTGATAATTTAAATATAAATCAGAAAAGGAATCAGGTTATACATAAGTCTCAGTAACTAGAAAATTTAAATAAATGATATAGTTACTATCCTGTTGTTGTCGTTAAGTGCCATTGAGTTGGTTCCAACCCATAGCGTCTCTGAACAGGGTTTCCGAAGCTGAGAATCTTTATGGGAGCAGAAAACCTCATCTTTCTTCCACGGAACAGCTGGTAGTTTTGAACTGCTGACCTTGTGGTTCGCAGCCCAATTCGTAACCACTACATTACCAGAGCTCCTTACTTACTATCTTAATGATATAATATTATCGTCTTATGTACTGTTGTTGCAAAGTGTCATGGCGTTGCTTCTGACTCATAGTGACACTGCATAGGGTTTCGGAGGAGTAGCTGGTGAGTTTAAACTAGCGACCTTGCAGTTCAAACCGATCTTTTGGATCAGTGCTTATCCTACAGTGCAACACCACTAATTCCAAATTTCACAAATACGTATATTTTCAAGTCTATATCTTAATTTGCTAGACATATTTTAAAACTCATTCATTATCCATGTAATTTCTATTCCTTTAGATAGATTCATTTTCCATCTGATTCTTAGTCATTTCAATATGATATAAATGTTGGTAGTTTATTTTTTCTTGGGACTGGGGCACATTCCGTTTCTTAGATATGTAGGTTTATAGTTTTCAAAGATTTGGGAACAGTTTTTGTCATTATTATTTTTTTTAAAACATTCCAGTGGTTTGAACCTATAAGTTGTTCCATGGGAGAAAGATGAGGCTTTCTATTCCCTAAAAGGTTTAAAGCCTCAAAACCCTATACAGGGTCGCTATGAGGTGGAACTGACTCCACAGCATATAACAATTACGCATAGTGGAGTTTGGTGGCTCTGTAGGACAAGCACTGGACTTTGAATCACAAGGTTGGCAGTTTGAGTTTTCCAACTGCTCTGCTCCTACAGAGATTTACAGCCTCAAAATCTATGATGCTATGAGTCGGAAGTGATCCACCGGCACTTAACAACAATTATTATACATGGATCAGGCCACTTGAAGTTCTCCTGTAACACTCTGATTCTCTGCTCAGCCTTCTTTTAAGTCTTTTTTATTTTTCTCTGTGTATTTCATTTTTAATAGTTTTTAAGGCTGTCTTCAAGTTCTCTCATCTATTCCTTTATAGTGTCGTTTCTGCCATTAGTCCTGGTGTGGCACTGTACGACAAGCGCTCCACATCAAGGTCGGTTGGAGCATCATGGTCGGCGGTTCAAACTCACCAGATAACTCTTGGAAACCCTAAACAGGGTTGCTATGGGTAGGAAGTAACTCAATGGCACTTAACACTTAACATTAACAACATCTGCCATTAATTCAAGTCAGTGCATTTTTCATCTAGACATTATAGCTTTAATCTCTAGAAGTTTAATTGTAAGGGTTGTTTTTTTCCCACATTTTTTATATCTTTACTTAACACATTCAGCTTTTCCTCTAGCTTTGAATATATGGACTATCATTACAATAATGGTTTTAATATTCCTGTATGCTTACTCTAATAACTGTGCCAATTTTGAGTTGGTTTCTATTGAC